TGTGATGAGAATGTGTATATTACGATATGTATCGATGTGAGCGACCATTACTTGAAATTTCAATGTGTGGTGTGATGAGAATGTGTATATTACGATATGTATCGATGTGAGATGGTTTTTGGATTTGTAAATGAGTTTGTGGTGATGAGAATGTGTATATTACGATATGTATCGATGTGAGATGGTTTTTGGATTTGTAAATGAGTTTGTGATGTGATTTGTGGTAGAAATTTGTTAGATTTATTACGATATGTATTGATGTGAGACAATTTTTAGATTTATACAGGAAAAGCATAAAAATGGAGATTTTTGTAATATTTTGACAGGAAATAAACACACACAGAAATATGCACGAGCAGTGCCTAGGAAATACACGGGACTGCTAGCCCCGTGCATTTCAATTTTGGCCAATGGTTACCCAGCAATTGCACGCGACTAGTAGTCTCGTGCAATTTGTGGGCAGCGCCCAAAGTATTTAATAGTCATTCCACAAAAGGACCACATTGGACAAAGAAACATGATATATGGAGGAAAATATGTAAATTGATATCTTAGGGGGCAAGTTGAGATTTCAACAATAGTTTAAGGGGGAGTTAAGTCGTTTTGTCCTAATCCATTTTCAATAGTAGAATGCTTGGTAGATGAATGACTTATAATATACAAGTGTTGTCAAAATGACCAAAAAGATGTTGGCGAAAGAGAAATAGGGCTTTAGAATTTTCTTAAATGTTAAGGAGTAAAGTTGTCTTTTAGTCGGTCAAATTATGTAGCTTATAAACTAACAAAAAATAAGCTAGATTACTCTATTTTTTTATAAGTTGTAAGCCAAATAAGTTGTTTGCCAAATTTATCTGAGTGGCTTGTAAGGCATTAAAGCGACTTTTATAGGCCAACATGACCCCTTGCAATACATGCTCTTAATTAAGATGCCTTCAAACATAAAAGCGACAAGTCAATCATACTTTGAACCGTGTCAAAGACGCACACTCCCATTAAATTTGAACAACTCACAAATACCAACCCCTGAACATCAAAATTCAATTTGGACCAAAGAAACATCTAAGCACTGCGCTTTCTTCATTGCTTCATGAGGCCTAGACCTGTCCATCCGGGCCGGGTTCCAGGTCGGCCCGGTTTTTTTTTAAATTTTATTTAAAATTTAAATTATACAAAAAAAACAAAAAAAATTAATAAAAAATAATAATTTTATTAATCACTTAAAATAACATAAATTATAAATAAAAAATGATAAAAACAAATTCTTTATTAATAATTAATAAATTATTTACAAATTACAAGTACAAATTTATTTTGAAATTCATCGCATCACAATAGATAAGTACATCCTAACTAGGTTGGTACCTACTCACCTATATCACTACCATTTGTAACTATTTTTAAAATAATTCTTTACAAATTTTAAGCTAAGATATAAAAATTACAATTTGATTAATATTATTTATTCTTTATATCTATCTACTAGTCCTAATTCTTCAAATTTATCTTTAATTCCAGCCATCCGATCGATGCCTTGCGTTCGCTTCTCGTACCTCCACCAATCTTGTAAGCGCATCACCGCTTGTACAGTATACAGATCTAAGCATATCCTGTGGTTGTCGATTAAACGTCCTGTTGTGCTGAAGGCGGATTCCGAAGCTACCGTCGAAACCTATACTGTTAGTAAGTCACGAACAATGGTGGAAAGTATAGAATATGAAACTGATCCATATACTTTCCATCATTGCAAAATATCTAAAGTATTTCATTGACATTTAACTAAAGAAGCAGATAAATATTCATCTATTTTAGAAACCTCCAATGATGACGATCCAAGTCCAGATCCACCAGTTAGCTCAGCTACCATTGCATACCTATCAAAACTTACACTTTTTACCTTGGGATGAGCTCGAAGAAACCGAAGCTGTAGACTGTTGTGTAGCTACACCATGTCTAGCTGCATATTCATCATATAAGGTTTGAAAATAATTTCTAATAGCTAAATGATAAGTAGTAGCAGTAAGGGTGGTTCCATCATCTAAGTCTATAATCCGATTACCATACAAGGATTGTAACAAACTTCAAAGACCAATATCCTTCAAGCATGGATCAATAAGAACCCCCAAACCAAAAATATGATGAATAGGCCTAAAGTACTTATTAAATTTGCTCTCCATTTGAAAAATCATAGGTCCAAAAGTATCATCCAAACGATATTTCCCATTTTTGAATATTTAAAATTTGTAAAGCAGCTAAAGCAATGGTTGGATAATAACAGCCAGATAATAACATTGTAGCATCATAAAAAACTTGTAACATTTTATTTAAATTACATATAATTATCTATTCATCTTCAGTTATTCCATAAGTGCTACCAGAACTAGAACTAGAAGCATAATAATGTATAAAATTAGTTATAATATCTTTATATTCTATTGCTATACTTAACATTACATAGGTGGAATTCCACCTATGGTCAACATCTTTTGGAATTAGTCTGGGCTTTACATTTTTTCTTTTACAAAATTATTTCCATCTTTTAAGTCTTTGTTCAGAAGCATTATGCATATAAGCAATTGTTCTAATATTTTCTATCATGGGTTTAATTTTAGTAAATGCACTTTAAATAATTAAATTTAAAATATGACAGATGCCCCTAATATGAAAAAGATCACCATGACATGGCAATGACAAAGTTGATCTGATAAAATCAACAGCTACATTGGTATTACTTGCATTATCTAGTAAAAGAAAAAATATTCTTTTTGAAATTTCTAATTTCATAAGTTCTTCAATTATTAAATTTGCAACATTAATACCAGTATGTGACTCTTCTATTGCAATAAAAGAAACAACTCTTTTAAACATTTGCTAATTTTCATCAATCCAGTGTGCTGTGATACATAAATATCCAGTTTGTGCTCTAGATGTCCAAATATCAGAAGTTAAAGAAAATTTACAGTTTAAATTTTTAAAATAAGAAATTATTTTTCCTTGTTCCTCCTGATAATATTTTAAAATATCACGTTGACAGGTTTGACGAATTTTTTTTTAAATGCAGGATAAAAACCATCTCTAAACATATCTTCAAATTCATCATCTTCTACTAATTTAAAAGGAAGGTTTTTAATAATGATAAACATGATTACGCATTTCCTGGCTCTGGCAGCGTCATAGTTCCAACTACCGAGACTACCAGAAGAGGAGGATTGAGAAATCATAGATTGTTGGATATCACCTTGAGGAGTCTGGCCTTTGTTGTGTTTATCTACATAGCGTTTGAGGTGGTTGGTGCCGCTCTTATGATGAGCTTGAAAAATCTTACCGCACAACGCACACTTAGCCTTCTGGGTGAGGATCCTACCGTGTTCATCCTTGGTGACGTCGATCTTCTCATAAAAATTCCACACATCGGATCTTAGCCTTTTAGGAGCTCTTGGTGCAGATTCGTCGCCATCGGATTCGGGATTAACTTCGGTAGGAGTAGACCCAGTAGGAGGACTCATTTCAAGATCGGGAGATAGGTGGGATTAACTTCGGTAGGAGTAGACCCAGTAGGAGGACTCATTTCAAGATCGGGAGATAGGTTTTGCTCTTCATAATCAGATCCGGAAGCCATTTGATGAAAGGATTAGAAAATATAAGAGAGTATAAGAGTATAAGAGAGAAGTAGATGAGTTTTTGTGTGAAGAAAACAAATGAAAACCCCCTCTATTTATAAAACCAATCCCCTAAGTAAATGACCAAAATAACCTCACAAAATAGCCGTTTTGACCGTTTTTGGGGACAAAACAGTCAAAAGACCGTTTATGGCCGTTATGGTCGGGCCGGCCCGGCCCGACCCGGCC